AGGTCCAAACCTTTCAAAAATGTGTGATGAAGGTCCCAAACTTTAAATGTTCGCTGAAAGTTGTAACAGTTTCCATCCAAATATTTATCAGTTGATCAAGAAATATTCATCTTTCATGATTCATCCTACCACTCAACCCTAACTCTTAACCTCTAACCCACCGATAGGTGGAGAAGCCTTCGTCATCAACGCTACTGTTAATTTTGAAGAGGATTTATCTATCTTTATTTATATTTTTCAGTCTTTTTAAAGGTTCTTTTTATGCGAAAATGGAGTTTGATGTGATGGGAAAATGGGGTATGAGCATAATTAATTTAATAAAGACCATATTTAAATTAATTGACGCATTTTATATAGTATTCTTTTACTTTTCGTCATTTACGTTTATTGAATTATGAATAACCATATGAATTGAAAGGCATATTGGATGTCCACAACCATGTTAAATTTTCTTGCATTGGCCAAGAAGGGTGACTCTATGCATTATTTACTATGAATTGGGATGATATATGGGTAAATGGACTATGATTGGTCTCTTGTAATACATATTTTGTTTCATAACGTGCATTGGTGTTTTCAGTTGCTATTTGGTTGTGTCGACACAGTGGAAAGTCTATTTGTTAGAGGAGACTTTGCTAAATGTTAAACTACTCAAACGAATTGTTATTTGCTAGTAGGTTTTGGGTTCATGCATTTGCAGGTGGTGTTCGCCATTGTTGATGGAGGACGGTTTTCAGTTAGATGGGGGCGATGCTGATACTTTGTGAGTCGACTCTGATTATTTATCTTTTATTGGAGGTTCAAAAGAAACGACTGGTTGGGCACATACACAACTATCAAAATTAGCTCATAGCTAAATTTTATTAAAAGCAAATTGGGTTTGGTCACTCTTGTAATTATTCCATTTTAGTACTGTTTAATGTTATATGGTTATGTGTCTTGTTGGAGTTGTCAAATCATATATTATTTTGTGTTATCTTGCAGTTTGTTGGAACCTCCGTATCGCGTGACATTGCTGCCACCATGAAAGCGTATTTTGATGGTCCCTATCCCAGATTTTGCTCGATGCAACAACGCATAAGTGACGGTTTCTAGGGTAGATTCGAGTTATAGTTATTTATTACAGTTGTAATTACTCTTAACATTCTTTATGACTATAATTGTTTTTTAACTAATTTGTAAGGATAAATATGACCAACGGGAAAAAAATGTGATGTTTATAACGAGGAAGAAGTCAGCGTCAAGAATTGATATAAAGATACCATTACAACAAAATTGTGATTTTGCAACAAAAAATTTTATCACATACAAAAAGTTGTCACAATAAGTGATTTAGCGCGACACATTTTAAAGTTTGTGGTGAAAAAAATAAGTACCAAAAAATATAAGGCGACATAAAAAGTTGTCGTGAAACGTGAAAAAGCACGACAAATAATAAAGATGGCTGCAAAAAACATGAGGGAAGCAAGGCGCAAAAAATATTTTTGGTGGGAAACTTATGGTGACAAAATTTTATTTTTTACAACAAAGTGTTTGTGATGCAATAGGGTGTACTTTGTGCGACAATGAATACTTGTCGCTAAAAATTCAATAGATGGAAGAAAAAATCGCTACAAGAAAAATTATTTTTTGCAACGGACTAAAAATGTTGACAGGTATTTTACAATGTTCAGTTGCATGTTGCGGACTCTAACAATGTTATAGAGTAAAAGGATATGACAACGTGTATTTGCACGTTGCAAAAGGCCTCAAGTGCAAGTTGTTGTTAAGTTTTTTACGACCTTTTTTGTCCGTTGCTTTTAATATTATATTTTGCAACATTCTTTAATTGTTGTCTTAACTTCTTCTACAAGGGTGTGTTTAGCTTTTTTACAAATATTGCGGTGGAATAAGTACTAAAAAATGTAAGACGATTTAAAAAGAATAAAGTAAATAATTTACCAATGAATTTTCCAACAGTTGATTTTGTTGAAAACTATATAAAAGAATAAAATAATTAGCAACAAAAAAATTTATTGGTAAAATTTTTGAGTAAAAAAAAATGTTAAAAAGACCAATGGAAAAAATATGTCCAAAATTTTTTGCTACCAAAAAATCCTTTTGTAATTTTAAGAAAAAGTACAAGTATTAATTATTCTCCCTGAAATTTTCAAATTCCCCCTTTGAAAATTCACTTTCTCACTTTTGTATTTCTCCCCCATCTACGTGCTTCATTTCCCTTTCTAAAATTTTCAAATCCCTAACCTCACATCCTCCTCTCCCTCTTGATATTCAAGCCCCTTTTCTCCTACAAATCTCTCGCACCTCAACAGACAACCTACCAATACTCCAGTTGTTGTCGTGTTTGACACCAATACTCAGCCTATCTAGCTTCTTCTCCAATATGTACCAAAATTTATCTCATTTTGTTTTCCGCCATTTTTCCCTAATTCATGACCTGCCGTTTACATTCGTGACAGAGCCCCATTTAACCAAATAATAGATTGAGGGTGAGTTGAAAGTATATCTTGAAGTCAAGAAGGTTATTTGGTTGTCTCATAAATTATTTGTTATTTCTTGAGTCTTTCTAGTATTATTTTCTTCTTTCTAGGTTTGGTGAACCACACTAAGTAGTTCGACCATGAAAGACTAGCATATAATTTATTTGTATTGGTTTTGATTTTGGAGGTAATCAAATTTGGCCTATATATATCTATTTGTTTGAAAATAATATGAATTCTTTATATATTTTGAAATTATTTATATTTTAATAATTGTACATTGAAGCATTCTTTTTAGAAAGTCATGAGTTGTTTTTAATGATGTAGGTTACATTTTCAAATTAATGTGTATCGTAGTTACAATTTCATTTTGATGCAAGAAATTGAAAATTATATATTTAAAATAGAATTTATGATATAAATAAATTAAAATAAAATAAATTAGGCAACAATTGTACATCAGTGAAGTGAGAAACTCTTTATGTAGCGAAACAAATTTTACTATAAGCACAGTTTGTCACATTAAGTATCCATTGTCACAAAATAATTTATGTAATAATTTTGTATGTTGTAAAATAAAATAGTGACATATATGAATAATTGCGAAATAAATTATGCAACAATTATACATCGTTGCACAAATGATGATGCGACAAACTCTATGTGTTGCGAAATAAATTTATTACAAACACCACTTGTTATATAATAAATTGTACTAAAAATGTTGAATAACTTAGAATACATTATGCAACATATCAAACGCATTGTAAATCATATTTCGCGACAAATATGACTTGTTATTAAAGATATATCACTACGAGTGTGTGTTGTTGCAAAATAGAATAAGTAACAAAAGTTATTCCTTTAAAATAATATTAACAACAAATATTTTCCTACAAAAACTTTTTTGGAATAATCTTTGCGACAAACAGACTTGTCATCCTTTTAATTTTTCGCGACAAATATTTTATGCGACGACATTATAACGACAAATATCTTGTTGTTATTTCGTATTTCTGTGTCAAATAAATAGTGTTACGAGTTTATTAATGCGATGAATGAGCAAAAGTTATCGCAGAATACATTCCGTGACTCATATAGAGCGATAATGCTCGCAACAAGCATCTTGTTGTCGCTAAATTACTTTTACAACAAAATCTTAATTTTTGCGACAACATTTTTTTGTTGCAAAATTGGTTATTTTTTGTAGTGTACGATGAATGATGCTCACAACCTAGCAAAGTGTAAATGTCACTATGATAATCATGTTGATTGGAGATGGCATGACCTATATTGGATAATGGCAAGAGTATTGGATAGTCTTGTAAAAATTAGGACACCGAGAAGTAAAATAAGAATTCTAAGATTGTTGAAGAGAACCGCCTTGCACAAGGAAAGGCCGGTGAAATGAAGAAGCATACTGTGAATTCATCCTCGTTTGTGATTACCAAGAAGAAATTTATAGATTTTTTTTCTTTCAATTTATATTCAATTTTGTGTTAAAGTTTATTTATGGCTAAGTTAACTGTTATTAATATGTAACATATTTTTAAAATGAAATGGACCTTCCCATGTCTCAATTTGGGTTCTCCAGCCCTGTCCACAAGACGAATAAATGGTTAGAGATTTTGTTGATAACAAATCCACAAGAGTTAATAAGTACAATTAGGGTGCGTTTGATTGACAATATTTTTCTTGAAAAATATTTTTTCCCACCCAATTTCCTACTATTGTGCTGTTTGTGTAACAATGTTTTCCACAGAAAATATTTTCCTACTTTTGGTCGCATGACCATATTTTCCTTGAAAACAAGTAAAATATTTTTTTTAGGGAGAGGTGATTTTTATGTTCTAGGTAATTCACTCTCTTTTTCTCTCTCATTTATCCACTATCTCTCATCTACCTACCAATAAAAAAGGACAAGTATAATATTTTATAATTTAAAAACTAAATTAATCAAACACATTTAATTAAGAGGTTTGCTATCTGTACGTCCCCCCAAATAGGTGGGTGCCATTTGTCCATTATGGACACCCCTATGAATTTTGCTATGTACACTTAGCAAAATTTTTTAATTAATAATTTACATACAAATAAATTCCAGACAATTATCTAGAATTTGTTTTTTTTCTATACAAATTCCATGATTACAATCAAACAGGCCTTTAGAGTTTAGAT